GTTACAAAAACCAACAATATCACCGATTCGACATCCTTAATCGAACCAACCAAGCGGCTTTCTTTAAAACCCTCTGCTGCTAGACCACCCAGATTTTATGGCTTACCAAAAATCCATAAAGAAGCTACACCACTCTATCCTATCTCTTCCACCATTGACTCACCCACCTACAAATTGGTCCGATTTCTGTCTGAGACCTTAAATCGACTGGTAAGACCACCTCAGCTGTACGTAACTCAGCTCACTTGGTATGTCTAGTTAAGGACATCTCACTGTCTCTAGGTGATTTTCTTGTCAGTTTCGATGTAGTATCTTTGTTTTCCAAAGTTCCTGTGCCTGACACCATTGCAATAATTGAAGATTTGGTCCAACAAGGACTGAATGGTCATGTACCAGCCCTGGTTAGACACTGCCTCACCAACACTTACTTCACCTGGAATGGAACATTCTACAAACAAGCTGAAGGTACCCCAATGGGTTCTCCCTTATTTCCAGTTGTCGCCAATGTTTTAATGGAAAATTTTGAGACAGATGCCATCCAGGCATCCACCCTACGTCCTTCCTTGTGGAAGAGATACGTAGATGACATGTTCGTCATCTGGCCACATGGCCTACCAGCGCTGGGCCAATTCTTCAACCACATCAATTCCATACACCCAGCCATCAAATTCACCATGGAGGTGGAAAAGGATGGCAAGTTACCATTCTTGGATTTTTAATCGAAAAGAGACCAGATGGCTCAATGGGACACTGTCTACAGGAAAACCACCCATACAGATGCCTACCTAAAACCTAACTCCCACCATTCATCCCAGAATAATTCCCTCATCCAAACTCTACACCAGGGGTCGGGAACCTTTTTGACTAAGAGAGCCATGAAAGCAAAAAATTTGGAAATTTATTTCAGTGAGAGCCATATAATATATTTTAAAAGTGAATTCAACTAAATGTCAGTATAATAAGCCTCTGAATTTATTCTTTTAAATAATGTTATAACACTCACCATTAATGCGACTTCTGGTGCTGCATGGATTTGCTGATGTCTTTGTAGTCGGGTTGGTACTTGGTGAGGTTAAGCTTCATGCAAGCGTTGAGGCTTTCATCCGTTAAACGTGATCGTAGGTTGGACTTGATGTTTTTAAGATGTGAGAATGACTGCTCACATGCATACGTAGATCCAAACATGGTCAATACAGCAATACTCACACGCTGCAGTGTGTGGTATGTGACAGGAAGCGCGTTCCAAGTTTTGAGAATCAGCTGGTCTTCGGGTTGGAGTTTTTTCATTTCTGTCCACATGTGCTTGCTCGCCAACTCCGCTTTCTGTCGTGTGATTCTTTCCAAATCTTCATTCAGTGACTTGAACTTATTCACCCACATGTCTGAGGCCTTCAGGTCAGCCACTTCTGCTTCAAAATCTCTGACGGAGACACCAGGGATGTAATTCAGGTCGGCTGTGTTCAGTGAACACTCGTTTGGATGGGTGATGAACTTAAAAAGACGAGTGTGCTCACGAAATTCTCCAAAGCGTGCTTTGAAGGACTGTAGGAGACTGGATGTGCAGCCAGCTAGCTGGTGGAGATCAAGGTTTTGAATGGGCTCACTTGCTGTGCATGCATCTTTAAATTGGCTCAGTTTTTCAAAATGTAGTAAACGACCTGTTTCAAGATCCGTGATGAAAAGCTCCAGCTTGTTTTCAAAAGCAAATACAGCTTCTTGAAGGGATAACACTGTATTTCCAATGCCTTGCATTTTCACGTTGAGCTGGTTCAGATGTTCAGTCAGATCTACGAGATAGTAAAACTTGAGGAGCCACTCGGTGTCGGCTAGCTCAGGATGCCCGACGCCTTTCATTTCAAGGAAAGTCCGGATTTCGTTCAGGCAAGCCGCAAAACGGCTAAGCACCTTCCCTCTTGACAACCAACGCACATTGCTGTGCAAAAGCAGACCAGGATAGTTATTTACAACTTCATCCAGCAGTGTTTTAAACTGGCGATCATTTAAGGCTCGGGAAACAATAAAGTTGATCACACGAATGACCAGCGACATCACTTCGCCAAACTGCCTGTCACACATCTGAGCACAAAGTGCCTCCTGGTGTATAATGCAATGGAAACTTAGGATGGGTCTATTTTCATGTTCACGGAGAAGCGCCACAAATCCTTTGTTTTTCCCCACCATACACGGAGCACCATCAGTACACACTGAGAGAAGTTTATCCATAGGTAGACTTTTTTCTTGAGCAAACTCTATGAAAGACTTGAATAAATCCTCACCTCTTGTGGACCCTTTTAATGGCAGAACAGCAAGACTTTCTTCGCGCAGTGTGTCACCAACAGCATATCTTGCAATCACGCTGAACTGCGACAAATGGCTCACGTCTGTTGACTCATCCAAAGCCAGAGAAAAGAACGGCGCTGCATTTATGTCCTTCACTTGCGTTTCCTCCACTTTGTTTGCCATCACGATGGTACGATCATGAACAGTTCTTGCCGACAGAGGCATGTCTTGTATCCGTTTGATTATCTTGTCTTTGTTCGGAAGATCATCAAAAAGTTCATTGGCTACATCCAGCATGAACGTTTTAGCATACTCGCCATCTGTGAATGGTTTTCCGTTCCTCACTATTGCTAAAGAACCAGCAAAGCTAGCCGAATTATAGTCACCTTGCCGGGTCCATACGCGGAGTTGCTGCTGGCTAGCTTGCACCCTGCTCAGAAGCTCTTGGCACGCTTTCTTTCTGCTGTCTCCCGCAGGGTATTTTGATGCAAAGGTAGCGTGGCGCGTGTCGAAGTGCCGCTTTACATTCGACCGTTTCAACGATGTAATTTTGTCATTGCAAATTAGACACACCGCAGAACCCGCTCTCTCCACAAAGGCGAATTCTTCGGTCCATTCGTCCTGAAATGTACGATACTCGTCGTCTTTTTTTCTTTTCGCCATCTTCTTCGTCGAAGGGTTAGCTTTGAGCTAATGACCGAGCAGACGCAGTCTCAGACTGATTCAAAAGGGGGCGTTTACCTGTTTTACCCAGCAACGGCAAACGTAGGCCAGTATCATCCAATTAAAATAATGGACAATTGCTCCTGCAGCCCTGAACAGGACATGCGCAGTGAAAAATCGATGGATGGATTAAAACAAGTGAGAATATTTTGTTTTATCTGCGAGCCATATGCAATCATCAAAAGAGCCACATCTGGCTCGCGAGCCATAGGTTCCTGACCCCTGCTCTACACCATAGAGCTCATTGTATTTCCATCACCACCTAGCCAGTGAACTGGAGTACGTACACCAAGCCCTCAAGATGAATGGATATTCGGACTACACAATCCGTAAAGCTATCACCCCCAACCGTTAGGAAAGAACCATCTGAGGACACAATCAAAACCATCACCTTGCCATACATAGGGGTTACCAAAAATATTTCCAAAATCATGAGCAAACAATATCCAGGTTCGATTCAAAACAGTACGTAAAATTCGTGATCTGATCCCATCTGTGAAATATGCGATCCCTGATATGCAATTCCCTGGTGTCTACAAACTAAGCTGTGTCTGCGGCAGTAGTTACATGGGGGAAACTAAGCGACATGTCTCGGACTGTGTTCGTGAACATAAGGCAGATCTGAAACACGGTAGGACCAATACCTCGGCCGTGGCTGATAATTGTTTTAATGCTGTGGGCACATATGAAATTTATTTTTCAAAAACGAAGGTACTCTGCAAACCCACTGGCTATTAACAAAGATTTGTCCATGAAGCCATCTAGATATATAAACACAGTAACAATTTCAACCGAGAAGCTGGGTATAAACTGAGCAATCATTGGAAGGACGCTATTAACCAGTTTCACTCATAACTGGCTGTGATGTTGCCATCCTGCCTGCCGATGTTAGCAGTTATTTCCGACTCTCTGAGCTACATTACCAGGTTAAATGCTTTTACATTAACAGGCTAAATGTCTCACTAACACAGTCACTGCTGCTCCTTTTCCTCGATGTGGTGGTGGCTCTCGTTTTTTAACAGGTTAAATTTCTCACTAACACAGCCACCGTTGTGGTGGTTCTCTTACATTGACATGCTAATCTCTCACAATACAATGGCCACCTCCACAGCTTCGTTTTCCTCGATGTCGCGGTGGCACCCGGTTTTCTTACATTTACATGCAAATTCCATCTCTAGCCCCGCCCACTTACCCTTGGGCTACACCCATCTCAAACCTATATAACATCCTGCTTCAGCAGCTCTCCCGCTATATTTTTTCCTGCCTCAACAGCTCTTCCGCTATATTTTTTGACCTGATGACGATTGCTTGTGTTGCGATCGAAACGTCGTGATATTTTTTTATTATTTTTCTATCTACGTGGCTTTACCGAAAGAACAATGAGATTACATTTTATTGAACTAGAACTATTAATAACGCTGATCCCTCGCGACAAAGCCTCACGCAGTGTGAATGGTTCAGCGACTGTGACAGCGCCAACGCTAACTGCGGGTGCCGTGTTCGCATGTGGTTCCAGTGACAAGTCAGTGGCCCTTTTGTGTTTGGGCAAGTGATGGTCTGTGGGGGCAGTGTTTGTGGATTCACAAGTGAATAGGTTTAATACGTCATACGTCTTCGGAGACAATATTACGAGTCAGTGTTGATTGTTGGACGAGGCCGCGTGTAATGATCTGGCTAAAATCTGTGTCGTGAAGACCCTTCTACCACTCACTTCCCTCATTTACATTCCTACACCCTGGATTATGCTCGGTGCAGTCCCAAGCAAAACGTCGTGAATCCAATCATCCATGTGAGTTTCCGAGGATTGTTTCTCAATCTCGTTTGGCTGTGTCAGGTGGTGGAGGGTCATAATAAAACAAATTTGGCCAGATCGTTACACGTGGCCTAGTTGAGATGTGGAGTGAGAATGGTCTGCGTTTGTGTTTTGTTGGTATAGAAGGCATCGGTAGTTTTGCTTTTTCATACGTTCATTTCTCACATGAACGTATTGCACACGGTTTTGCTTTTTCAGTCTTTGAACTTTATTTCATTAAACAAAAACGTATACCTTGTTCGAGTTGGCTTTGCAGAAACATGAAAAAAACAAGAACACATTTGTTAAATACCACCACACGGTGTGTGTAAACTCGCATTCGTACCTCGCCACATGCGTGCTTATGCATGTTTGTGGGCATCCATGCATATTCCACGCACTTTACCGTAAATGTGCGTTTTAGTGTGCGCAGTAACGTACCGGTGCATATGCATGTATAGACACAGGGAGTCCACGAGCATTACACTGTGTACATATGTATGTGTGCGTGTCAGCATGTATTGTTAGGTCGCTCCCACTCGGAGCGGCTCTAGCTCCCGTCCCTCTGCACTTCTTGCGGCAGCGGCACCTGCACAAAGACACAGAGATGCAGAGCGGGCCGTCCCCTGTTCAGCATGCATATCCGGGGCCCGTTGTTATTGTTATCAATGTCGTTCCTCCCCTGGTTAATCCAGGAAGGCCTCGCTGCCGAGTCTCAACTCGTGATCAGGAGGGTCCTGGCAGGTGTTCTCAGTCGGGGGCAATGTTGCTGCTGCTGCCATGTGATCCCAACGAGGTGATCTGCAGGTAATTTTTCCGGATTGGAATTTGTTTTCGGCCAATACCGGTTACAACATTGCGTGTGGTTTTTTGTTTAGCTATGGAAAGAAACTGGTGAACATGGAGGAAACCCATGCAGAACAAGGGGGAGAAAATACAAACTCCACACAGAAAGGCGCCCAAGTCAGGCATCGAACCCAGGTACTTTTTCGTGTGTCACCACTGCACCGCCACCCTGCCACCACCCTAGAGGGCCACCGAGACATCTATCGCCTGGTTTACGGTGTCTTGAGATGTGCTCGTATTTTCGGTTAGAAAAACAACCAAATAGTATTTCATTACGCATTGCTATTGGCCTCACCAGCGAGAGGCGACACAATAACAATCGGGCAGTTGCTGTTACCCATTGTGCACCACGTAGATTGGGCGGCAGACGGCCTTGCACGACATAACTGGGGCCACATCATGGAGGTGTCCCAACTCAGAATTTAACGATGGATTGCGAATGATGAGGGCCGAGTTAATAATGCGTGCACCAGGGGGCCCAACGCCGCTTCCAAGCGCCACCCTTGGATGCACGAATTAAACAATTACTTAGTCCAGTCAGCCGAGTGGCTCGGTGACAGAGCGAGTGGTGCGCGTTCGAAAGGTCTGCGAGTTCAAATCCGAGTGAATGATAAAGAAAATGTCAACTGGTAATACCGCACTGCCGCTGCATGGTATCCGCTCTTGTAGAGAGACAGACAATCACTTGGAGGTGCCAGGAGGAGGAATCACAAATGAGTGGGAAGGCAGCAGCCACACCCTAAGGATCTGGCATGACCAACAATTGCCCAAGCTCTGTGGTCCTCCATGTACTAAAAGGTGGTATTGGCCAAATAATGAATGTTTATACAGGTGGGAGGAAACACGGGGAAAACCCATACGTGTGAGAGGGCAACACTTTATATCGCGTACAGATGGAGCAAGTGGAATCCACACTTTCCTGTACTACTATCCCCTGGTGAGCCAGGGTACAGCTTCTCGATGCCCACGCATCTCTGTGTGATCCAGAACCCTCACTGCTGCCTCCACAACACTGGATTCCAGGCAGCGTAGCCACCACCACCACCGCCCATCATGGGGGATCTTGTTTTTGGGGAAGTCAACTGTGGTTGTCCTATGAATATGCTGCAGCGCCGTAAACAGGAGATGAGCACCAATGCATACATTCTAATTTCTTCAGGAACTCACTCGGACTCTGAATACAACACTGTGCATGGACACGACTGGTAGCCAGGTATCTGGGGCTGCTCTGTGTTGACACAATAAGCAACCCGCTGCTATCCTCACACAGCTCCACTCACTGGCTACTCCCATGATCCCCTGAAGGGAGACTTTCCCTTGATTTGTCCATCATTGGGATCCCAAAAGGAGGCAGGACAGGAATCCCTCGGCTCATTCGCATAGATACAAGTTGAGTAAGTCGTCGCTTCCCAGCACGGAATCGATCCTCAAAGCAACCGCCACCACGGGTGCCGTATGCCAAAGATGTGTCCGTTCTTTTAGAGTTTGTCGAGATCATAACACACAGTTGAATAGAATCCGCACGCACACCCCCACCACATTACGTTCACAGCCGACGGCACCCAGGCCTGGGAAGCGAAGGCACGCGAAGCGCTTGCAAGCAAAAAACGATCGTTGTCATTTCCACTCTGGCCGCACGCGCAAACTTGCCTGGAAAATCGATTCCCAGGCGAGAGCCAGGCCGGAGAGGAACCTGCGCAGCTCCGAGTCGCAACTGAAGCTGAGGTCCCAGCCGAGGACACACTGCGAGTCCGCGCCTTCTCTCACCTGCGCACACACACGGAGCAGCAGATTAAATTAACCCAGCGCCTGCACACTATGTGTGTACACAGAGGTGCTCGCAAACAGCACTTTCCCCGATAATCTTTTATGGTTATATAGTGAGGCCAAGGACGAGCCGGTAGTTGAGGCGACACTTTTATTTAACAGCACTAGTGTACAGGGTTTCTAAAACAAAGGGGTAACGGCCCCTTACACCCGCTACCTGGGGAGGTATGGCCTCCGGGCTATCGTGCCTCCTCATACTGGGGACCACTCTGCACTCAGCCCTCCGGCTAGGGGCCCTAGGGGAGGCTATCCTGACCCGACCCAGACAAGGTCCTCGGGTCCCGACCACTGGCCCACTCAGTCCCGGCCCTTACAAGGACGTCAGGTCTGGGGGTACCCAGGGTCCGACCACTGTCCCACCTCAGTCCCGGCCCTTAGAAGGACAGCGGGTCTGGGGGTCTCAGGGTCCTACTCTAAGCCCGGTCTTCAGTCTTCAGCTTGAGGAACACTGCCGAACCCAGGTCAGAGGTCCGGCTTTTATACACCTGCCAGGGTCCCCACGCCCCTGGCCACGCCTCCCTTCCAGAGAGTTCCAGAGGGACCTGGAATCTTCCCCCAGCCCCTCTTGGGGTCTAGGGAACCTTGGTGACCCACACATCACACCCTACTGGTGGATGTCTGCTAGTGCAGGTAAGTACCCCGTTTATCACGTTACATCTATACTGGGGATCTGTCTTTGTGAATGCATGTATCCGGGTATGAATGAGTGTACCAGTGAGCACGCGTGGCGCATGTCGTGTGTCCGTGCGCGCACGATGCATGGCAGTGGGAGCCTGCCCAGGGAGCGGATGAACCGCGTCTCCGCGTCCTCGTGGCACAGGAAGAGGTCGTTCCGCGTGAGCAGCAGCACGCCAGGCACAGCGGGCACACGCACGCACACCTACGCACGCACGCACACACATGCCACCGCGTCACTACCAGCACAGCGAGCACACGCACGCACACCTAACAATAACAACCGCCATTCGCCACTAAGTGGCAGGTGACATCACCACGATGCTTGTGCCAGGCCAGGTGCACGTTGAGGCCACGTAAAATGTCGAACGCCCACTATCAGGAGGACACGGGGCAGACCCAGATGCCACAGGTTGACTGACTGAGATGACTGGTTGATGCACCACCTGTGCCCCCTACTGTGCCAACTTGCTGTGCTTTAGCCACATGGCGCTCCGCTCGTTGCGAGCGTCGCTCCTCCACCCTCCGTTGTTGTTGTAGGGCGACTGCCTCCAACTGCTCAGTAGCGTCATTCACGAGCCTCCTTCAGAGGCCGATCTTGACAGCGCTGGTACCAGTCGTTGGCAAGTCCACTCAGCTCCACATCCTCTTGTACCACATCACTCCATCTCTTCTCTAGCCTGTGCTGCGCCAATTTAGCCCCCTCGATCCGGCAGAACAAAAGCTGTTTAGGCTTCCGGTGGCTGGGCATGCGGGCTACATGACCCAGCCAACGCAGCCTTGCCTGCCGGAGGAGCTCACCTATGGGACTTTTGTCAAGATCTTTCAAGGATTTGTGAGCTCCTCATACAATCCAGCCTGGTTAAACCCAGGATGGATCGTAGGCAGGCCAGCCTAAATGCTTTTAACCGGCAAAGATGTTCCATTAGGGTGTTCCACGTTTCGCAAGCGTAGAGAAGGGAATGACTGTGGCTGAGAAGACTCGGAAGCTTCGTGCGGAGTGACAGACCAGGTAGCTTCCACACAGCGATACGCAACCGATGAAAAGATGCCACTCGCCTAACTCAGAGTGCGACCTCTGCTGTCAAACCGGAGCCAGTCATGAGCATACTGCCCAGGTATGAGAAACCCTCCACTCTCTCCACAACTGCCCTATCACCAATTGGGAGTTGTGGAGGTGGAGTGTCCGATGGTACAAAATACCCAGGCAGGTTCTTAGTTTTGGTGGGGATGATGGTAAGTCCCCACCTCTTAGTGGCAAGCTCCAGGTTCAGCAGCATCGCCTCCAACTCTTCCTCTGAGTGAGCAGTAATAACCGGATCATCGGCATACATAACATGATTGAGCAATAGGGAGCCATCCCTTGACTGCACCCGGGCATCGATCAGCCTCCCAGTGTATCTGTACCAGATGGAAATTCCTCCGGTACAGCTATTGAAGGCTTCACGGACTGTGTGGTCGAAATAGATGTAAAATAATGTGGGAGCCAGAGGACATCCCTGTCGCACCCCAATGTGTACAGAGAATGGCTCCGACTCCCGGCCACGTAGTTTTACCTGGGCCCGCTCACCATCATGAAGATCCTTAATGATTGTGAGCAGAGGGTCAGGGACTCTGAAAGCACGAAGAACAATGCAGAGCCCAGGCCTGCTGATGGTATCATAGGCCTTGACCAGGTCAATAAAGCAGAGATGTAGGTCTTGTTGGAATTTCCAACACCTCTGCTGTAGCAGATGGACAGAAAATATGCCATTTGTGTAGGACCGCCCTTTCCTGAAACCGCATTGGGGCTCCGCAAGCCTCTCCTCAGTGTGCCTAGCAAGGCGATGTTGAATAATCCTTGCCAGGATCTTTCCCTGCACACTGAGGAGTGAGATACCCCTGTAGTTGTTACAGTCTGTGTGGTCCCCCTTCTGAAAGAGCGCGACCACCAGGGCATCCTTCCAATCCTGCGGAACCCGTCCACTGGTCCAGAATGTTATGATGTCATGTAGGGCAGTCTGTGCACAAATGCCACCCTCCCTCAGCATTTCGCTTGAGAGATCATCTCTGCCCGCTGCCTTTCCTGGTCTCAGATTCTCGAATGCCTTCAGTACTTCCTCAACAGATGGTACCTCAGACAGCCACTCAATATAGTAATAGGTTTTTACCCGTTTATCTGGCACCAAAACTGACATTTATACAAGGGATCATTTTAACACGTAGGCTTTCGCGACCAATATTATTCATAATAAAGGTTTTTGGGTTAGATCGCGTTTATTTATAAATGTGTCGTAACCCTCCACCACCCGACACGGCCAATCAGCAAAAAAAGTGTCACGTTGACAAAAGACAAACAATTCACTACTTCAGCCCACCGGTGTGTTGAAGAGTTAATCCACATTTACAGTTTGAGTACGACGTTTCGCTGGTAAATACTTCCAGCATCATCGGGCAATTCGCCAGAATGGTAAAGCCCTCGCTTGCTCCCGGTTTTATATAGAGCAGCAGGGTGACGTCATCACTTAACTCATCAGGTGCAGTGATTAGAGGTGGAGGGGGGGGGTAATGTAATTATATAATCGATTAGTAATCAGTCATTGGTTATGATTAGTAATGAGTTGTAGATTAGTAATTCTTTAAATCAAAATGTAATGTGTATTATTTAATAATGCGCTTCCAGGCCGCACTAAGCCGGTAGCTGTCAGAGCGATTAAAGTTATTCTTGTTCCTCTCAATTTCAATGGATTCTCTAATTAGTCTTTGCCAGTAATAATTAGTTTTACACACCACTGCAACATTGTCAAAATCAATTGAGTGTCCTTGTTGACAAGCATGTTCTGCCACTGCCGACAGTTGTGTTTGAGATAATTTAATATTTCTCTGATGTTCTTTTAGTCTTACGCTGATGTTACGTCCCGTCTGCCCAATGTAGCAGCTGCCACATGAACAATTAATCCGATATACACCTTCTGTTGATAGTTTAGGTAATGCGTCTTTAGTGCAAGATACTAGTTTTTGAATTTTGTGTACTGTACCAAATCTTACTGTAATGTTTTGCTTTTGCAGAACGCGGGCTAATTTGTCAGTTACTCCTGAGATATATGGAATTTTTATTGTTTTAACAATCTGGTCGCTTTCAGTAGTATTGCTTTGCGATCGTGATTTGGCATTCAGTGCTCTGTTAATTTGAGCATTATTGTAGCCATTCTGTCGTAGTGCGTCTTTAACGTGTTTAATCTCTCTCACTAGACTCTCACCATCTGACACTGTTTTCGCCCGATGTACGAGCGTCTTGATAAGAGAGGATTTTTGAGCTGGATGATGATGTGATTCTGCATTCAGATAGGCATCAGTGTGCGTTTGCTTTCTGTAAACGCTGTGTGTTATTTTACCGTTTAGGCCATGTCCAAGCAAAATATCTAGGAATGGGAGTGTGTTATTCACCTCCATTTCCATGGTGAACTGGATGGCCGGGTTTTGTGCATTGAGATGATTTAGAAAATCATTAAGTGTATCTTTACCATGTGGCCAGACAACCAAAGTGTCATCCACATACCTAAACCAAAAGGATGGTTTTAATGTGCTCGAGGCAAGTGCTCTTATTTCAAAGTTTTCCATGTACAAATTTGCTATAGCAGGGGATAAAGGAGAACCCATTGCTGCTCCTTCCTTTTGTTTAAAGAAATCCCCTCTCCATAAGAAGTAAGTGTTATTTAAACAATGGCCAGTAAGTTTCGGAATATCTTTTTGTAAACCGGTATTCTTTACTAGTGTATCAAGTAATTTAAGCGATTCGTCCACTGGAACCTTAGTGAATAGAGAAATCACATCAAAACTTACCAGAATATCATCAGGAGTAAGTTTAATATCTTTAATCACATTCACAAGATGTTCTGAATTTTTTATGAATGAAGATGTCTTACCGATGTAGGGCTGTATTTGTTTGGTTATATATTTTGCTAATTGATATGTGGCAGAGCCAATTGTACTGACTATGGGTCGTAATGGGATGCCGATTTTATGAATCTTTGGTAGCCCATAGAGTCTAGGTGGTTTTGAGGCCCTTGGCTTAATTAGGTATTGCTCATTTTTAGGGATTAATGAATTTGCAATTATTGCAGTGGTCTTACGTTCTAAAGTAATAGTTGGATCTCGTTTAATTTTAATGTAGGTACTTTCCTCTAGTAAATTTCTAATTTTATTATCATAATCGGCTCGTGACATCACTACAGTAGTGCGGCCTTTATCAGCTGCTAGGATTTGGATATCCTTATTTACACGCAGCTCTCTTAAGGCTTTTGCCTCGTTAGAGCTAATATTTACTTTTGGAACTTTGCTATTCTCAATTATTTTAGAAACCTCATGTCTAGTCATCTCTGCCTCATTATGTGGAAGGAGTCTAACTGCTGATTCTACCTCAGCAATTATCTCATCCACTGGAATTGTGCGTGGGGTAACGGCAAAGTTAAGGCCTTTAGAAAGGATAGAGACCATGTCACCGGTTAATACAGTGTTGGTCAAGTTCAGTACAGTTTTGTTTTTACATTTTTGGTTTTCAGTAGGGATTTGTTTATTATGTAGTCTAGAAAATTTATTAATTTGGTTAGTTTTTGTTAGTTTAAACACATTATCAGCCGATTGTTGTGTTATGTTATCGATTATATTCCAATAATGCATAGATACACTATTGCTTATATCTAAGTGTAACTGCTTTAGCGATTCCGAAATGTAAGATAATTCACTCCTATTGTGCTGTATTCTCTCTATTAATAATAATTCGCTAGCTTTGTGTAGTATTTGGTTAGCTTTAGAAGACTTTATGTGATGTGTTATTGTAACTGCGTTTGGTATTACCTTTGAATCTCTGCACCTTTTGAGGAACGCCAGTGAAGATATCAATTTCATCCGCTTAATGCGAAGCTTCTCCAATTTTCTGGTTTTAAGAAAAGTATCCTCCCCATAGAGGTTAGTCAGTTTAACACGTAGGCTTTCGCGACCAATATTATTCATAATAAAGGTTTTTGGGTTAGATCGCGTTTATTTATAAATGTGTCGTAACCCTCCACCACCCGACACGGCCAATCAGCAAATTGGCGATCTAACCCAAAAACCTTTATTATGAATAATATTGGTCGCGAAAGCCTACGTATTAAACTGACTAACCTCTATGGGGAGGATACTTTTCTTAAAACCAGAAAATTGGAGAAGCTTCGCATTAAGCGGATGAAATTGATATCTTCACTGGCGTTCCTCAAAAGGTGCAGAGATTCAAAGGTAATACCAAACGCAGTTACAATAACACATCACATAAAGTCTTCTAAAGCTAACCAAATACTACACAAAGCTAGCGAATTATTATTAATAGAGAGAATACAGCACAATAGGAGTGAATTATCTTACATTTCGGAATCGCTAAAGCAGTTACACTTAGATATAAGCAATAGTGTATCTATGCATTATTGGAATATAATCGATAACATAACACAACAATCGGCTGATAATGTGTTTAAACTAACAAAAACTAACCAAATTAATAAATTTTCTAGACTACATAATAAACAAATCCCTACTGAAAACCAAAAATGTAAAAACAAAACTGTACTGAACTTGACCAACACTGTATTAACCGGTGACATGGTCTCTATCCTTTCTAAAGGCCTTAACTTTGCCGTTACCCCACGCACAATTCCAGTGGATGAGATAATTGCTGAGGTAGAATCAGCAGTTAGACTCCTTCCACATAATGAGGCAGAGATGACTAGACATGAGGTTTCTAAAATAATTGAGAATAGCAAAGTTCCAAAAGTAAATATTAGCTCTAACGAGGCAAAAGCCTTAAGAGAGCTGCGTGTAAATAAGGATATCCAAATCCTAGCAGCTGATAAAGGCCGCACTACTGTAGTGATGTCACGAGCCGATTATGATAATAAAATTAGAAATTTACTAGAGGAAAGTACCTACATTAAAATTAAACGAGATCCAACTAATACTTTAGAACGTAAGACCACTGCAATAATTGCAAATTCATTAATCCCTAAAAATGAGCAATACCTAATTAAGCCAAGGGCCTCAAAACCACCTAGACTCTATGGGCTACCAAAGATTCATAAAATCGGCATCCCATTACGACCCATAGTCAGTACAATTGGCTCTGCCACATATCAATTAGCAAAATATATAACCAAACAAATACAGCCCTACATCGGTAAGACATCTTCATTCATAAAAAAAAATTCAGAACATCTTGTGAATGTGATTAAAGATATTAAACTTACTCCTGATGATATTCTGGTAAGTTTTGATGTGATTTCTCTATTCACTAAGGTTCCAGTGGACGAATCGCTTAAATTACTTGATACACTAGTAAAGAATACCGGTTTACAAAAAGATATTCCGAAACTTGCTGGCCATTGTTTAAATAACACTTACTTCTTATGGAGAGGGGATTTCTTTAAACAAAAGGAAGGAGCAGCAATGGGTTCTCCTTTATCCCCTGCTATAGCAAATTTGTACATGGAAAACTTTGAAATAAGAGCACTTGCCTCGAGCACATTAAAACCATCCTTTTGGTTTAGGTATGTGGATGACACTTTGGTTGTCTGGCCACATGGTAAAGATACACTTAATGATTTTCTAAATCATCTCAATGCACAAAACCTGGCCATCCAGTTCACCATGGAAATGGAGGTGAATAACACACTCCCATTCCTAGATATTTTGCTTGGACATGGCCTAAACGGTAAAATAACACACAGCGTTTACAGAAAGCAAACGCACACTGATGCCTATCTGAATGCAGAATCACATCATCATCCAGCTCAAAAATCCTCTCTTATCAAGACGCTCGTACATCGGGCGAAAACAGTGTCAGATGGTGAGGTCTAGTGAGAGAGATTAAACACGTTAAAGACGCACTACGACAGAATGGCTACAATAATGCTCAAATTAACAGAGCACTGAATGCCAAATCACGATCGCAAAGCAATACTACTGAAAGCGACCAGATTGTTAAAACAATAAAAATTCCATATATCTCAGGAGTAACTGACAAATTAGCCCGCGTTTTGCAAAAGCAAAACATTACAGTAAGATTTGGTACAGTACACAAAATTCAAAAACTAGTATCTTGCACTAAAGACGCATTACCTAAACTATCAACAGAAGGTGTATATCGGATTAATTGTTCATGTGGCAGCTGCTACATTGGGCAGACGGGACGTAACATCAGCGTAAGACTAAAAGAACATCAGAGAAATATTATATTATCTCAAACACAACTGTCGGCAGTGGCAGAACATGCTTGTCAACAAGGACACTCAATTGATTTTGACAATGTTGCAGTGGTGTGTAAAACTAATTATTACTGGCAAAGACTAATTAGAGAATCCATTGAAATTGAGAGGAACAAGAATAACTTTAATCGCTCTGACAGCTACCGGCTTAGTGCGGCCTGGAAGCGTATTATTAAATAATACACATTACATTTTGATTTAAAGAATTACTAATCTACAACTCATTACTAATCATAACCAATGACTGATTACTAATCGATTATATAATTACATTACCCCCCCCTCCGCCTCTAATCACTGCACCTGATGAGTTAAGTGATGACGTCACCCTGCTGCTCTATATAAAACCGGGAGCAAGCGAGGGCTTTACCATTCTGGCGAATTGCCCGATGATGCTGGAAGTATTTACCAGCGAAACGTCGTACTCAAACTGTAAATGTGGATTAACTCTTCAACACACCGGTGGGCTGAAGTAGTGAATTGTTTGTCTTTTGTCAACGTGACACTTTTTTTGCTGATTGGCCGTGTCGGGTGGTGGAGGGTTACGACACATTTATAAATAAACGCGATCTAACCCAAAAACCTTTATTATGAACAAGGGATCATGTTTGCAATAACCACAACACAAGCAGTCAAAATGCAAACAAAAAGAGCCACTCAATATTTGAGGTACCGCAGCCTCGGCAGGTTCATCCCCCAATTTGTCCCACGTTGTTTTCCATGCTGAGGGATTTCCCCTCCTCCAGGACCCCACAGAAATGTTCAGCAAATCTGCAAACCTGTTCCTGCGGGTCGGAGCTTGGATGTTCTTTCCCCTAATGATGGTAACAGGTGTGGCACTGCAGGTTACTTTTTTTATGGAATTAAAGAGCGATCTGTGATCGCAGGCCATTGATGCAGACTGCATCTCCTCAGCAACCCGCGACCACCACCCATCCTTGCAGCGCCTCACGGCTCTCCGAACCTCTGAGCGAAGGCTGCGGTAAGCCTCCTCATTCTCCGACGTGGGATACTGTAGCCGATGAGAGTGGGCCTGTCGCTTTTTCAGCCGGCTTGAACACCTCTTCTGTCAGCCAGCTGCATGAGCCACAGTCCTAAACCTCACCCATTTCCCCTCGACATCAGGAGGAGTGGGGGACGATGCCAACCCCAGTTGCAAGCAATGATTAAATTCTCGCTTGCAACTTTCACCCACACCGGAGTGGAAGAATGGCAGGTGTATCTTACAGATGACAAGTCAATAGTCAATGGGCAGATCAGCTCCACGGTAGGTCCTGGTGTCAAGGACATGGGCCTGCATCCACTGTTCCATCTCTATGTAGTCCAGCATATGTTCTTGCTTGGACCCGGCATGCATCCATGATGCTGTGTGGATGCGCCGATGCCGGAACAGCGTGTTGGTAATTACAAGCCCATGGGCTGCACAAGAATTTAGCAGCCTCCTGCTGTTGTTATTGAGCTGATCTGGCCCATGCCTTCCAATCACTCCAGACCAGGTGCCAGCATCATGGCCAATTTGGGTATTGAAGTCACCCAAAAAGATGACTCTATCCCAAGGGGCCGCTTTAGCTAGCTCCTGTGACAGGTCATAGAAGGCATCTGACTCATCGGCCTTGCCTGCATCCCTCCACGGATGTTCATCTTCGGTGGGGGCATAAGTAACCACGATCGCCACTCCTCGCCTCCGGTTGATGGGAAGGCGAGCCTTAAACTATCATTTGTGGCCAGGTTGCTTGTGAAAATTAATGATATAGCTCAGTGGGCCTCAGCTGGTATAATACAAATATTTCGTTTATAGCGAGCACCTATGAAGGCCGGCACAGCACGCGAGTGGGCGGATGGCCAGCACCATCCCTGGCCGCCTTTGTCTCCCAAGTGATGATTTTTACACACCGCACCAGGTACTCATTGAGGCTGAGTCGACTCAAGGCAGACCCAAAACCAGTTCAAATAATCGTCATTGGTGTTGGCTGTGAGCGGGGATTGAACTCGGGTCACCGGGGTCACAGTGAAAGGTAATAACCACTACACTATCACTCCCCCCACGCACACACGAGGGGACACACCGTGCACACACAATCCTCTTGCACAAACCATGCGCGCACACATGCGCGCATCCCTCTCACACCCACATGTACACACCGAGAACATACGAACAGCAAAGACAAAATCCCCCGTCTAGCCTTAACACACTGTTGGGACAAGTTCTGTTCGTGAACAACATTCGAACGAACAGCACACCCTCACTCACACACGCACACACACATACACACAGACACACAGCTGGCACGCACGGTCGGCGCACGCAGCCGACGAGCGCACGCTCACCCCGTGCGACACAGCCTGGCAGATGGCCTGCAGCCAATGGGAGACGCTGGGCTCGGAGCGCGCGGCCAGGCGCAGGGGCGGTCGCCCCGTGAGCAGCACCTGGAAGCTGTGTGGCTGCTCGGCGTCGCGCACGCGCAGGCACCCACCGCACCCGCCTCCGCTGCGCAACCACCACACAGCACAACGGGGGGGGCACGGTCACACAATGCCATCCGGGAGCCAGGGACTCCGCTGCCACTGCCTGATTGGGTTTGAGCCGGACAGTCCGGGGGGTGGGGCGGGGCCTGTGGGGGAATGGCGCCCGAGTGTGTGGGTTTGCAGGAGTCAATTTGTGCCGAGGGCCAGTGGGGCACTGCCTTCATGACTGGAGACTCAGCGCAGGGAAGTGCGAGCGGGATCGGTCTGCGGTGGAAAAGGTGGCTACGCTGATCGCACATGGCGGAGATGATAACGCGAGGGCTACTCTGTGTGGAAGTGAACCTTGGTTCTATGGTGAGACTCTCCCCTTGCCATAGTAATGCGGAATTTCCACCACTGGCCCAGCAGGGCTGTAAACATGTGATCAGTACCAATGCCTTAATGCTCATCTGAGTGGTACGTCACTTTGACTTTGACCTTAATGATGCCTTTGCTGTCTGTGCACTGCACTTGTGCTGCACATTCAGTGTTTCTGAATTAGTGTTTCACCTCATGCTGAGAGACATGAGTGGTGTCACGCCCGTGCTGTCTTCGTACTGGTACAAGATGCCACTGCTGGAAACAAACAGCGCCAGAGCGCACATTTAACATACTTGGACAAGCAAGATAGTCACACGAGAGAGAGCCAAACGAGAGAGAATGACCCACACAAGAGATAGTGAGCCACAAGAGAGTGAGCCACACGCGAGGGAGAGCACCACACGAGAGGGAGAGAACCACATGAGAGCCACACATGACAGTGAGCCACATGAGAGAGAGCCAAACATGAGAGCGAGCCACACAAGAGAGTGAGCCACGAAAGAGTGAGCCACACGAGAGTGAGCCACATGAGAGAGTGAGCTACAAGAGAGTGGGCTACACGAGAGAGCCACACGACAGAGAGCCACATGAGAGAGCCACACGAGAGAGCCACACGAGAGTGTGAGCCACAAGAGAGTGAGCCACAAGAGAGCCATACGAGAGAGCCACAAGAGAGAGTGAGCCACACATTAGTGCAATGGAATCTACTTGATGTACTGCTATCTTCTGTTCACCTCATTTAATTTTTTTTAACACAGTTGCTGAGCACAGACCCAAAGGCCCAAAATATCAAGCAGGCAGCAACAAACAGCACTATCAAAGTTGTACTAGATATAAGACATGATTGTCACACATTTCTTGAAATGAGTGAGGTTATAACTGTGTAGTGACATCGGGGATGTCACTGTATGGTGCCGGCCCGGGAGGGCCGTGGCATGCGATGCACCGTCATCGCGTACACCCCGCAGATGGGTGTAGTACCAGCCCTAGTGGGGCTTGGTGAGCGCTGGGATAGCGCGGGCACCACGCATCGCGTGTAGTGCGGGCTCCCACAGGGGCGAGCGGGAGAGTGTCAGCCCAGGGAAAGGGTTGCCCCGGGCCATGGCACTCTGGTTGACCCCGTAGACACGTGATCTGAAGTGTCCACAGAGAAGGCCACAGGTGGGGGGGCTAGGGGGTGATCACGTGTCCAGGGAGAGCTCTCGAGGGGAATCGAAAGGGAGCTGGAACGCTCGCGAAGGCGGGCTGGCCCGAGGGCGGAGCCAGACCCGATCCGGGAGGATATAAGGTGGGTCCCTGAGAGGGACCGCGGTTGCTTCGTTCTACAAGCTGGAAGCTCTGCGTCTACAAGCTGGAAGCTCTACGTCCTACGATGCATCAACACGTGGCCGGGGACCTGAGTGAGGGTTCGACCCTTCGTAGGTGTAACTCCTACGTATAGTGTAGTTAGCTGGGTGGTCACCACCCCAGGCTGTATCTGGTAAAGGGGCAGTTGTATATACGTGTTACAAAAAATGTTGCCTCTGAAGAATAATGTCTGCGACTCAGTTGGACTCAATACAATTGTAAGAGCTGTGGAAAAAGAGACTATGGGAGTGGGAGTACCAGAGTGGAGCAGTGCGGGGGAAGAAGCAGAGAGAGGAGTGAGGTGGCCTGGAGTATGGGGTGAGTGGGTGGGTGAGTGGGTGGGGAGAGTGAGTGTGTTGCTAAGACCTGCAGTGAGTGTGCGGCTAAGTGGTTGAATAAGTGTGTGTTGTTGTTGCGACCAGCAGTGTGGCAGTTGAACACAGTTTGGATGAGACAGTCTGGTTAGCAACACCACGGGTGTGGGAGTCGATGAGTGAAGTTTACGGGAACACTAACAACCTAACAACGGTAGCAGGGAACGAGTGACTGGAATGAATCCGTGAGAGCTGGATCAATCACCCCAACTGCCTTACAGCGTGTCCAGCGCAGTGAGGTAGGGACTGGGAGATTGGTGGCAGCTAAGCGCGACCGCTAGAGTCGGTGGCACCGAAGCCTGCAACCCACTTGGTGTATCACCTAGCGATGCCAAAACCTCAAAACCGCAGATGTCACAGTATGCCGCACGTTGCTCCACACGCACGCACCTGAGCACCAGGTAGCACGGCTTCCACGTGTGGCCGCCCATGCGCCCCGTCGTGCGGTACACGAGCAGCTCCTCCTTGTAGGGGACACAGCCTGGCCCCTGGGGGCAGCGTGAGGCCTGCAGGCAGCCTGCCGCGGCACAACCGGAGCCGGGCGCGCACTGCTGGTGCACCTCCTCCCAGTGCACGTAGCTGTAGCATGCGACATGCACTTCGGACAGCTGCAAAGACAAAGGTACCCCGTGTAGCCTTAACAGACCGTCAGGGTCGAGTGCTGTTTGTGAAGACTTGTTTAAGGCCGTCATTTAATGCCTAGGAGAGACCCACAACCGGTTCAGATTTCTATGAGCCCTACTTATTTATGTGTGTGTGTTTATGTGTTTCCTTCTGGGGGTGTGCATTTGTGTGTGTGCATGGTTTGTGAGAGGGGTGTGTGTGTGCATACAAATATATTGGTCACAGATGTTGGTCATGGAGTTAATCATATTTCCGGGTTCGTAGAGCGGATGCGCGCACACACACAGATGTAAATACAAAGATCCCTGCATAGTGCTATTAAACGAGCACCTATGAAGACCGGCATAGCATACGAGGGGGTGGGTGACCAGCACCACTCCCGGCCGGCTTTGTCTCCTCAGTGGCGATGTTTACACATTGCACTCGGTACTCATTTTGAGGCCCAGGACCGGTGCAGAAAATCGTGAATGGGAATCGAACTCGGGTTGCCAGGTTTGAAGTGCAACATGCTAACCACTACACTACCACTCTTCTCAACCCATAGATGCTCACACACTGACACACACACATATACACGAACCCATATATATAAATGAATACATATGCAGGCAAGCCCACACAGAGACACATGCATACACACACACGCATACACACAAAAACAAATGTATACATATGTAGTGACTGTACTTGTCACCGTGTAGTGCCGGGACTTGTGAAGTCACGGCTGGTAATGTTGTCATTGTGGGCAGCCCGGGTTGCGGGCTGCAGTACCAGCACTAGCGGTGGTTGGGCGAGCGCTCGTTAGCGCGGAGGCACCGCGAGCAGTGTGCGGTGCCGGCTCCCAGTGAGGGAGCGAGAGCGAGCGTCAGCTAGCCAGGGTTACTCTGGGGCATGATACTCTGGCTGACCTGTTGTCACGTGACCGGACGATACTGGAGGGGGGCCACCGGTGGACGGGGGCCGAGGGGCGGTCACGTGGTCCCGGAGAGCTCTCGGGAACATTCGAGAAGGAGCTCGAGGAGCCTGGAAGGTGGGTGGGGCTAACGGCGGTGCCAGCCCCAGCCCAGGAGCGTATAATGGGAGCTCCGTGAGGAGCTCGGGGTTCTTCGTGTGCTGGCGTTTGAAGATCCACGTCGGGGAGAAGAAGCCTCTAGCCACGCGGTCATGGACCCCGCTTGTGGTCCGGCCCGGCATAGCAAACCGTGTCTAGTTCTGTCATAGCGTGGCTAGATGGGCATTCGAGACCCGAGCGTAGGTTGTGCTGTTGTGTGAATAAATAGTGTTGCTCCTAAGATAACGTCTGCGACTCAGTTGGACTCACTACGCATATACTGGAACACATTACAAACAAAGACAAATACCCTTCGTATAGCCTGAACAGAGTATTGAGGCAAGAGCCAGCACCTATGAAGGCTGGCACGACACATGAGAGGGTGGGTGGCCAACACCACGCCCAATCGCCTTTGTCTCACCAGTGGTGATGTTCACACACCACACCAGGTACTCATTTGAGGATGAGTCGACCTAGGGGAGGCCCATGACCAGTTCATGGCCACGTACACAAAAACACGCAACGCATGCATTTACAAAATGGCCACGAATACAAACGCAACACACACACGGACGCACACACGCACGCACGCACACACGCACACACGCACGCACGCACGCACGCACGCACGCACCGGGCACGGTGTCTCGCGCGCGACGAATGCCATGAGGGTTGGGTGCGTCTCGGACGTCTCCGTGTGGGTGCGTGGGTACGGTGGCTCCCGGCAGCCGCGCACCAGCGCCGCCGTCAGAGACAGCAGCAGGAACCTGGTAGAGCACGCAATCACATGCAATCACAACGTGGACACGCACGCAAATCACAACACAGCCTTACACGCAATCACACGCGACACACGCAATCACACAAGATGCTCGCCGCGTATACGCACTCGACACCGATTTAATTGCACGCGCCGGTAGACGTACTCAGTGAGGCCGTGCTCGGCGGTGTCGATCCAAGTGTGCTGGCGCTGCGAGGCGTCGTCCAGCCGCACCGCCTGCCCGTGCACGCCCACGCGCACCGCCGCCAGCTGGTGGTAGGGGGTGGCTCTCTCCACCGCAAACGGCTTCTCCGCCGTCCCTAGAACGCAGAGCACGCGGACCGCCGTGAGCCACCGGCGGTGGTACTCATGCCGGCTGGTCAGAAGCGTCGAGGCCCCCCGAGCCCTCACTTCCCAGACCTCCATTGGTGGCTGGCGGCGGCGGCGGCAATCTGATGGGTAAGTCCGGATCAGGTGTTATCTCATTGTACCTTCGTTGTGCCTGTGTCCTCATCCGCATTTTGCACAGCAGAGAAGCAACAAAGAAATCCAATAAAAAGTTCAGGCGCAGAGTGACAAGTGTCGAATATAAATGCAACGCTAAGGCTGTGCGATGCACCCGTACAACCCCACGTGGAGTATTGCCTTCAGTTCCGGACACCACGGTACAAATAGGACATTGCTGCCTGTGGTCGAATCACATTATTACTGGGGTTATTGTGAATACTTTGTCCATATGAGTGTAACAAAGGAATGGGTTGATCCATAAAACATCGCCCATGAGGGACACTGGCATGGCCCATTTTGTGTAATTGGTCACAAGGAGAGGACATTTCGAGAGAGACCTGAGCAGCCATGTTCAGGAGAGACACCAGGTCTTTTCTCAAAGGCGAATTCTGTTAATATTTGGGCCTAAGGCCAGGCATAAGCAGTTTAATTGAATACAGTACCTGTAATATAGAAAAGTACTACTGTATAAGAATACAGAGACATGGGGGAAACTGGTTTAAAATATTACAGTGAACAGGCAGACCAGTACAGGCAAACCTCGGTAAGCGCTGAAAATGCGTTCCTGAAGAAGTAAGCGCTAATCGAATCGGCGGTAACAAGGGGTCATTATACCATTGTATGTGTGGGGATGTATTCCTGACAGCGCGACCGCCCTGCTGCGCATACCCTTGCGCACGAGGTAGACATGGCAGTCGGTGAGCACCACGAATAAGGACCGTACCGCACCCTCCGCGTGTCCCGTTGTCAGCTTCAGCATCTAGGGGAGAGGGACCCGGGGGAACCTCACCAGAATGAGCACAGCGACAACAACAACGACCGTCGACCATCAGCCCGCAGCTTTAGCCCCGGGCCAGGTGAGTGTAGCGACGCACGGCCAACCCCAGTCGCCTGCCGTGTCGGGGCCGGTGGTGGTGGCGACGCGGTAGTGCGTTCGCCGCTTATTGCAGAGGTTCGTGGTTTTATTCCGGCAGGCCAACCCAGTTAATACTGCAGGTGCATTGATCGGAGCAATACGCGCACCATCTGCTTCATGGTGGATGTTAAAGATGTGAGTGGAAACAACCGGGCCACTGTGTGCCGGCATCACAGTCCAAGCTGGAAAAGTTAGAGCAATACACCGCAAACCGCTCCCAATTGGGATTATACCCAGCGGACATGGTCGTCCCCCTACTCTGGAAGACTGATGCCCACCTGCAGGCCGGGTATCGAAGTCACCTTGTGCCACACAAGAACAGCTACCACTGGATGTGCCCTTTCAAATGTTTTGAGACGGTGTGTGATGTTTAGCGCTCTAGAGATGCCCCCGCGTACAGGATGCTTTATCAAAAACGAAACATCATTCTTGGAAAGACACCCCGAGGGGTTAGGTGAGAGTATAAGGAGCACAGCGGTTACCATTCCCCTGCAGCATTAGACGCGGGCAGCACTGGACTTGTAATCCAGAGGTTGGCGGTTTGACTCCATCTCCCAGCGTAGAAGTTGAAATAATGGGGACGAGTTCCTTAAATTTCACCCCCCCCTCACTGCCTCTGTCCATCCAGCAGCATCACAAGTGGTTCAACAGTTAGCCTATTTGCATGAAGAAGGCCATCTCTGGTGGAGGCCAGACAGTTTCAAAGCGTACGGAGGGAGCACACATCAACTAAATTAAAACTAAACTTTGATTTAAAGCTTTCGTGATTGCAGGGATCCATATTCTTGGTTCTTCTACGTGACTTTACCGAAAGAACCAAGAATATAAAACTAAACTATTTATTTTTTATCAGGTAAGGCCCACTGAGCTGTACAGCTCTTTTTCAGAAGCGACCTGGCCACAAATGAGAGCTCAATGAAGTGGCTTATCATATGGAGATGTCTAGCAGCCAAATAGTTAGGACCCAGAGAAAAATCCATTTGACCATGTGGAGAGAGAAACATGTAAACTCCAAATATATAGGCGTCAGGATAGGGATTTAACCCACGACCTCCTGCATACCAGGCGAGGTAGTCTCTTATCCACCATGGTAGTGTGACCTCTCACCTTGTACAGCTGCTCTTCGTCTTCCCGGAACACGTGCAGCATGAGCAGGAGCAGCAGATTGTTGTCCACGCTGCCGACAGAATAACAACATCACTTACTGCCTGCACACGCGGCACCCCTCATACTCCTGTCCAGTGCCTAGGCGCTGTGTCTGTTGAGATGCTAAAAATATTTGTTTGTCTACGGATTATACGGTTTGCTTACGAGGGGCAGTGGTAGAGTGTTAGCTGCTCGTTGCAGAGGTTCGCGGTTGAGTAGCGGGCAGGCCGCCCTAGTTAATACTGCGGGCGCACTAACCGTAAAATGCTACGGGCCTTCTGCTTCTTTTGAGTGGACGTTAAGAGCCTGTGTCATCATTGGCAATGAGTAGGCCGTTGTGCCGACGACAAGGTCCCGAATTTGCTAAAGTAAAAAAAAAATTAGCTGCAATTTACTCAACTGGGATTGCACACAGCAGCAGCAACCATCGTCTGCCACTGTCAGACAAACACCCGCTCGCAGGCTAGGTTCTGAGTTGTCTTGTGCTGCACAGGGGCAGCTGCCAATGGGGGTGCCCTATTGTTTGAGTTGTCGAGAAATTTACACAAGCACCGTATACAAGAAAAGATTGTTACAGGCGATGTCCTCTTCTAACATGTCTGGGAAACAAGCGGGCCCGATAGTGGGTTTACACCGGTACCTGATCTCGGCGCGGTGCTGTAGCGGCCTCCCCATCGCGGCGTCATCCGTCTCAGTGTCTTCGCCATCCGCATCTCTGTCCCCTGTCAAAGCTGTCCCATTCTCAGCCTCCACATTGTCTCGGTGACCGGTGCCACCGCAATCGTGCGCACAGTTTCCATTCTGACAACGACAGTCCCCTGCGCAACCATCGTCCGCCCCACAGCCCCGCTCACCGTAACAGTCAACTGAGCTCGCCACACCGGAGGGTCTATTGTGCTCGGTGTGGTTGTGCAGTTTGTCCAAATGTCCGTCTTCTGAGGGTCGTACTCCGTCCGAATCCACGGCATCGTCGCCCAGCGTCCATTGCTCCTCGTCCGTGTGGGCCAGCGTGTACCTCTGCGCACTGGAGAGGTGCGAACTAAGAAGCACGTGCACGCTCTGATGCTGCTCTCCCTCCCCCTCCTCCTCCTCCTCCGCGTCGCCATTACCCCTACACCCAACACGCTCCGCCCCCTCGTCGTCATTCAGGGGATTGGCAATGTTCAGACGCAGGTTCCTCGACTGCACCGGACCCTTCGCTCGTGACATTTCCAAACCGGGCCGGTTCGCGCCTCGCTGTTCGCTGCCTGACACCAGGCCGACTTGCCACGGCTCCGTGTCCACGCGCTGTGCTGTGTCTGGCTGCGACTCGTCACCCGGCTCCTTGGCTCCGCCCAACTCGCCCGCCTCGCCCGCCTTGCCCGCCTGCCGCAGCGCGCTCGGTTGCAGTATCACGTCGGGCTGCAGCGCGCTGCTTGGCCGCTTCACCGCGTCCCACTGCAGGACAATGTCCGGCTGCAGCGCCGTCTCTGCTTCGCTGCCGCCACCGCTGCCGTGCCGCTGCCCGTCCGCGCCACGGGCCCTCCCGTTGTCGTGGCGCTTGCGCCTTCTGGTGGTCAGGCGGATGACTTCCAGCGGGGAGTGGTCGTGGTCGGCGTCGCCGGAACTCGCCGGGATGGCTCTGCCGCCGACCTCGTCCGTGGGGTCGCCACGCAAGCCGAGGTTTGGCGACGAGAAGGGGTTCTGCCGGTGCCACGACCCCCGCTGGGCCGCGGTAACGCCGCCCTCTCTCTCCCGCTTGGCGGCGGTGGTGCCTGTAGTGCCCATGGTGCCCACAATGCCCGCAGCGTCGGGGCTGTGCAGGGGCTCGGCGAGGCTGTCGGTGTCTGCTGGTGGCACGCGTTCACACATGTGGCACCACCGGAGGTGTATTATTATCAATATTATTCTAATAATCGAAAGGACAACCAGTGCTCACTTTATCGAACCCGGAGCGATGACAATTGGCCGAGTTGACCCCCAACCAGGATTTGAACTTGCAACCTTCCGATTACAAACCGCTCGCTCTACTACTCTGAGCCACAAGCATGGATTAATATTTCACTCGTTTTACCCACGAAAGACTCACTGGGTCTCAAGGCTCGTTTTCAGATGGGTCCTGCCATGTTTTCACAGTAGCGGGCAATGTTGATGCTGTGTGATCACAATTGAGTAACTTGCAGGTTATTATTCAGGTTTCAGATGTATTGGTGTTTTTAGGTATGGGAGGAAAGTGGAGAACCCGGAGGAAACCCATGCAGAAAAAAGGGGAAAACGCACAAACTCCACACAGAGAGGCACCCAAATCGAGAATCAAACCGAGGCGTTTCTTGCTGTGAGACGCGAGTGTCTCCACTGTGCCACCGCCCTGCCGCCCGAATGACTTGGCAAGGAATAAAAAGTGCCACAGAGGGAATGTTAGTGCAACGCACGGGCAGCACCAGCTGCAAGCATGTATATGTTTATGCGTGCATGCGTGTGTATATGTGCATATGTGTATGTCGCCGGGTTCGTAGTGCAGAGTGCTAACCGCTGCACTACAAACCTGGCGACCCGAGTTCGATTCCCACTCAGGACCAACACCAATGCAATTCTCTGAATCGATCCTGGGCCTGCCCTAGGTCGACTCAGCCAAAAATGAGTACTTAGTGTGGTATGTAAACTATGGCATTGGGGAGACAACGGCGGCCGGGCGTGGTGCTGGCCACCCACCCCCTTGTGTGCCCTGCTGACCTTCATAGGTGCTCGCTAACAGCACTTGCCCCAACAGTCTGTTAAGGCTATATAGGGGATCTTTGTCTTTGTGTACGTGTGTATGTGGTTGCGGGAAGTAATGACACGGCTGTTAGCATGCTGCACTACCAATCTGGTGACCCAAGTTCAATTCCTGCTTACAGCCAACACAAGGGGTGATTATTTGAACCAGTCTAGGGCCTCCCTTAGGTCAACTCAGACTCAAATGAGTACCTGGTGTGATGGGTAAACATCGTCTCAAGAGACAAAAGCAGCCGGGCATGGTGTTGGCCATCCACCCTACATGTCCCGAGCCGGCCTTCGTAGGTGCTACTCCCTAACAGCAAATTATGTTAAGGCGACACGGGAGATTGTTGTCATTGTGCGTGTGTGTGCGTGTGTGTGTATGCGTGTGTGCGTGGTTTGGGCTGTGGAGCCAGTCCCACCTGTGGCGTCCGTGACACACATGCAAGGCTCGAAAACGTCTTGGAAGTCAAAATCTACAACACACGTGTTACACACACGCCGCATGAATATATGCAACCACCCTCCGCATCAGCACGACCGAGACACGGCCGCCACCTGCTCCACTGCCGAACAAACGCGGATGTGTTCCTCCGTCGGCACTGGTCTAGAATCGGAACTGCGCAGGGTTGGTGGCTCACACAAATGTTACACGCACACAAATATGGGATACAGTGTTGCCCCCTCGCATGTGTGGTTTCCTCCGAGTGCTTCGGTTTCCTCCCCATGTGTAAACACTCATTTATTGGTCAATAACACCTTGATATTTGAATGTATTGGCGGTGCACCGGTGGTGCGCAGTATAAAAGCAAATTTTTATCAATTATTTTTTTCCCTGCGATTCACAATCCCGGTCAGAAAATATTGCGGGGTGTGCGTTAAAATCAGTCCTCGTGATGTCGAAGCAGTCGGAAGACGAATGTTATGAGCGGCTAAACAGGAATCTTTGTGGTCTGTTGCCGTATAACACCCAGCCTGATGACGATTGGCACCGTGTTCCAAAGGAAGATTTGAAGTGCCCTAGACTTGGTCGGACGGTTCCTCGATTCATTTCCGAAAAAAATTCATGGCGGACGGTGGCATCAAAAGATTACGGCTCGTAGCATTACACGTTCGAATGGGAAAGCAGCTGCTGAATTGAAGGCAACTTCTGATGTAGAGACTTTAGCTCACTCAAGACCGGTGTGTTATGCTTAACCGTTTTATCGCCAATACATCCATAGAAAGGAACACAGAGCTTGGGCAATTGTTGGCACTGGCTTTCACCATCTAGCTGCTGCCTTTCCCGCTCGTCTGTGGTACCTGCTCGCACCTCTCAGAGTCGATCGCTTTCGAGAGCGAGAACACTGTGCAGGGGCGCGTGTTACACATTTAAATTACGATTTTACACAGAGAAAACCCCCGCATGATCCTCGGTCAGCCGAGGTCTATTATCAAATCCGTGCACTCTCCTGCATTTAAGTTCAACTCGGCATCATCGGTATCAGATCTCTCGATACAAATAAGATGATGCCAGGTTCCCCGACTGTCCCGTTCACATCCAGACAGGTGGCGGCACCACTCCATATGCACTTCTCAGATTAAAACACCGCCCGTGCACACGATCACCGTCACTCAAATATATACGCAACCATCACCACGCACTCAATCACCCCAACGGCATCGTTACGACCGCGCGGGCGTCCGCGCGTTGCTGCCGTGTGGCCCTCCGGCGTGTTTTTCGGGTCGTGCCATGCGCCACTCGGCACGACACCCGACGTTTCGCTCCACGTGGTGCGAGCTTCATTAGGAAGCTTCCCCCCAGGGAACTGAATTCAATTCCTGCTCAAAGCCCCCAACACGTGACGCAAAACGTCGGGCATCACGCCCAATGACAACACCGACCCGAGAGCACGCGGGAGAGCTAGGAATCCCATGTCCTGCCACTGCCAAAAACCTGCCGGAGCGCATTCGCCCACTGGCACCTTCGCTGGACGGAGCGATGGCCGAGTCGTCCCACTCCAGGTTCGCCGAGTTGCCGGACTCGAGGGAGGCACTGTCGGAGCAGCCGCCCTGGCACGAGCCGCCCTGGCACGAGCCCCGGCACGACGGGGAGTGGCCGTGCAGGTCATCGGGCAGCACGGGGCGGTACGGATCGGGCATGTACGCTGCCAGGTCCAGGTATGGCGCATCCTGCGAGCGCACGAGCGGAGCGGGCATGCATGTCACGTGGTGTCGCACTGCGTCATCAGGCAGGAAAGCCTCGTTTTCTGGAGAGCCCTGGCCACGTGTTTTGCAGTAGGGAGTGATGTTGCTGCTGTGCATGATCCCCAATTGGGTAATTTGCAGGCGATTTCTCAACATATTTTGGAGGAAAGTGGAGAACCTAGAGGAATCTCATGCAGAACTGGGGGAAACCATACAAACTCTACACACAGAGGCACCCAAGTCAGGAATCGAACTCAGGCTCTTCTTGCTGTGAGGCGCGAGAGCCGCCACTGTGCTGCCGCCACCCTGCCGTACACTTTAACCTTTTAGTGTTTTATCCACATTCACAGACAAGAGTATTTTTACACGTCCCATCAGCTGAACAGCCGACAAGCACTTAGTACAGGCAATGTGGAGAGACATCCACGTGAAGGAAGAGGTCTGCTCGCAGTGTCCCAGACGTTCCCCACGGCAATGCTCGCGAGCGGCTTGCGCTGCACGTTAAGGGACGAGATCCCGGTCTCCCACGGGTTCAGGCCTCCATGAACCCCACAAACATGACAGGCTTCCCGGCTGCAGCCAATCAGAATGGAGCCGGGACCCCTGAGCATAAGCTCCAAGGCCCAAAACGTCACACAGCCAGAAAAAAAACAGCACTCGTATCAAAGATGTAATATATGAGAAAGTATGAGAAAGTAAAACAATTCTTGAATTGACCAAGGTTATTACGGTTATAATAGCGTGGGGAAAGTAGATGAGAATAATGATGATGGTGGGAGGAGGGAAATCCGCAGGAGAGCAGTGCGAGGGAACAAGCGAAAAGTGTGGCGAGTAGCAGAGTACTGTTGTGACGTGCAGTGTGAGGAGTGAGGGGGTAAGTGGGTGAGTGAGTGAGAGTCTGAGTATGTATTTGTGACCTACGGTGTGGTGGTGGTTGAACACAGTGCGATGGATGAGATGCAACAGCCAGTGTCTGGCAGACCCAAGTCCTCAATAGGTGTGCGTATTTGTGTGCTTGCGTGTGTGCAATAGGGTGCACACACCAGCTCCAGCTCGAAGTGAATGAACTCGAGGCCAGAGACGAGCGTGAGGAAGAGGTTGAGGTGGTCCGAGCTGCACACCAACGCGCTCCTGCTAGCGCCGCACGCACACAACAGCGCACGCGTCCCGTCAGAGCCGTTTACCGCATGCCTCAAAGCGAGAGGTATACTGGACGTGGTGTGCCGGGTGCGCACAGAAGCAGAAGATCACGTCGCGGCCGTGGTGATGCCACAGTGACTCAGTGGCGATTGGCAGCCTTGGTGATGTCATCATTGCTCGGAAGTGCGTGGTGGGTGTGCAAGTGAGTGAGTTACCCGCTGTAGTGGGAACGCAACAGCACCGGGTTCTCACTAAAGAGACGCAGGTAGCTCTCCAGGCTGCTCTCGTTCAGCGCCAGGTACAGCCACGCGCGGCCTGAACGCACCACCACACAAAAGATAGAGGTCCCTTGTATAGCTTTAACAGACTGGTGGGGCAAACGAGCACAAATTAAGGCTGGCACGGCACACGAGAGGGTGGGTGGCCAGCACCACACCTGGCTGGCTTTGTCTCCCGAGTGGCGATGTTTACACATCGCAACACCAGGTACTCATTTGAGGCTGAGTCGACCTCAGGAAGGCCCAGGACCAGTTCAGACAATCGTGACTGGTCTTGGCCTTGAGCGGAAATCGAACTCGGGTCGTCGGGTTCATGGCGCAGCGTGCTAACCATTGCACTACTGCACCACCACACACACGCATACACAGATACAAGATAAAGATCTCCCCTATAGCCTTAATGAACTCTCGAGGAAAGTGCTCTTAAGGAGCACATATGGCAGCTGGCACGGCACACAATAGGATGGTGCAGCCAGATCCACGTCCAGCCAGCCTTTTGACTCCCCATTGCTGATGATAAAGACAACCCATAGATAACAGGTTAATGTGATGCTGCAACATCTTGGGCAGACAGGTGGTGGTGTAGTGATAACACTCGGCCTCAAAGCAAGAAGACCCTGGGTTCTATTCCTGATTTGGGAACCTCTCTGCATGGAGTTAGTATGTTCTCCCCCTGTTCTGCAGAGAGTGTGAGAGAGAGTCCGTGTGAAGCGGTAGTGTAGTGATTCGTGCTCTGCATCATAAACCCAACGACACAAGTTTAATTCCAACACCGGTGACGAATATCTGAGCAATCCTTGGTCTCCCCTTGGTCGAATCAGCCTCAAATGAGTACCTTGTGTGATGTGTAAACATTGTGACTAGGGACACAAAGGCAGCTGGGTGTGGTACTGGGCAACGACCCCCTCGTGCGTCGATGCCAGCATTAATAGTCAAATCTAATTATATCATCAAATTTAAAAAAAAGTTTTTTTTTTTATATCCGGGTGGTGATGCAGCTAAGCTGTAGCACGTTCGCCCCTAATTTCAGAGATTCGCGGCTCCAACTCGGCAGGCTGCCCTAGTTATCACTGCGGGTGTATTAATCGTAAAATGACTACGAGCTGCCTGCTTCACAGTGGACGTTAAAGATCCAGCTCAGTGAGTGTGCGAGCAGTCGGTACGTTCTCCCCCTGTTCTGCATGAGTTTCCTCCGAGTTCTCTGGTTTCCTCTCAATTGCAGGACAATGGGGAGCACGCGTGTGGAAGTGGCCGCACGCGCCGGCTCGTGACCGATCCTGGAAGGTGACACCGCGGGAACTCACTCCGGCCCAAGCTCGTGGTCACATGATGCAGGGCAGAGATCGTCGCCACCGCATCGGAGCGCGTGAAGTGCATGACCAGCGGCCAGTAGCCGGCAGGGATGTGCTGCAACCTGGCCACACACACATACCAGACTTAATGGACAAATGCTGTTAGCAAGCACCTATTAAGGCCTGCACAGGACACAAGGGCGTGGGTGACCAACACCATGCCCGGCCACAGTTGTCTCCCTAGTGGCGATGTTTACACACCGCACCAGATACTGAGTTACACTGACACTCACGGACACACACTGGACACACTGATACACACTCTCACACTCACGGACCCGTGCAGCAGCGCGTGGTCCAGGTGCTCGCACACGCGATGTAGCAGCCGGTCGTGGTTGCGCACGGTCGGCTGGCTGCCCACGGATACATCCTCCTCCTCCTCGCGCTGACAGGGAACAAAGCTGCCTTGAAGCTGCACCCACACACAGACACACAGACTGACTCGTATAGCAGTGCAGACTGCTGATGGGACCCAGATGGTCAAAACCAGACCAGAATTTGCTTGCTTAAATATGGATCATGGATGCATTTACAAGAACACCTGTTCCAGCTAGCTCGAAACATTCAGGCTGGCCAGTCTGCGATCCATCCTGGGCTAAACCAGACTGGATTGTGCGAAGAACTCACAGATCCTTGAAAGATCTTAACACGGTCCCATCAGTGAGCTCTTACAGCAGGCGATGCTGTGTTGGCTGGGTCATGTAGACCGCATGCCCAGCCACCGCATGCCCAAGCAGCTTTTGTTTGGCCGGATAGAAGGAGATAAACGGGCGCGGCACGGGCTGGAGAAGTGATGGAGCTGATGTGGTACAGGAGGATGTGAAACTGAGTAGACGTTTCTAGATTTGAAGCTTTTGTGACTGCAAGGATCCATACTCTTTGGTTCTATTCGGTAAAATCACGTAGGTAAAAAATAAAACAACAAAAATCACGACGTTTCGGCCACAACACAAGCGGCCTTCAGCAGGTGAAGGGACCAGACTGCCTCGAGAACAGCGCTGGAGTGAAACACAGCCAAGCTCAGTAGACTTGCCTATAGTTCTGTGGAAGAGATTATTAATAGATGCTATGAAGTGTCTGCAGGCATCACATGAGCTTGTGATAGAACAACACTGATTCTCGCACACCTGACACAATGCAGGTATTGGAGATGTGATTTTAATCAACGAATGAATGCATCGTTCCGGCCCGAATACAGGCGTGCGATGTGTGCCCTGGGCTGTTCAACACGAGTTTGCAACTTCGTCAACGACAAAATTATATTACCGCACTCCAATGACTCTGCTTCCATATATGTCATTGCAATGAAGGCAGCGCAATCACCAGTGCACTACAAGGGCAGGTGGAGCCATAACTTTAAAACATTCATTATTAATCTTTAAATACATCACTGCCAGCTCGCGTTGCCAAAGGACGTCACCACCAGATATGTCTACCAGTTAGCCTCGGGTCTATTATCAAAACAGTGCAGGTTACTGTGATGAAGTTCAACACAGCAACACTGCTACCAGGTCTCGGTAAAAATCAATTCCCAGGCTGTGTGTAAAATCCAAACAGATGGCAATGCAACACAACCTTCAGATTAAAAGACCGCAGCATGATCTGAGAAACATCAGACAGTTTTCAAAGTATCTTTGGGGGCAGAAACTATATAGATTTTTTTTCAAACGACTCCCCAATACTAAGGGGGGTCCCTCTCAAGGCTCCGTAATGGCCCACTATTGTTCTCTCCATGTGTAAACAACATTGGCTCAAAGTTAATCTGCTTAAAAATTATTATTTTATATTCACAATCTGAATTAATACACACCTACTCCATCTGTAAATGAAGGGCCAAACTATATTATTTAAACACTCTGTGGTTCTTTCGGTAAAGTCACGTAGGTATAAAATAAAATTAATTACATCACAACGTTTCGGGCGCAACACAAGCGTCCGTCATCAGGTGGAAAAACTACAGCAAGAAATAATTGCTGAAGTGGGCAAAAGGGCTGCAGAGACAAGAGGCTATATAGGAAAGAGAGGGGGGTGTGGGGTAGGAGTGGAGCGCTGCGAGAGGGATTAGGAAACGAGCAAGGCAACATGCCGGTTGGGGGGGGGGGGAGCGGGGCTGGGAGTGGGAGGCTGAAGAAACTGGAGATGCGGATATGAAGGCAACACCATAAAGCAGTTAAGGTTTTACCTGGTTAATAATGTAGAGGTGTTAACTATGCGCTGTTGCGTAACCCGCGTTGCCACCAGGGCGGTGCAGCATTACCCCTGGGTACAACAGTTGGGGTCAGTCGAGGTGAAACGGATCGTGGCCAGGGTTTGGTGCGAACCAATCAGACGGTTCCACGTGGGAATGTATGATTGGTTCTACCTGGTCACGAAGGGGTATAAGACGGGTGACCCAACGGACCTCGAGGAGTTCGCTCCCTGCACGAAGACAGAAGACTGGGCTGGAGCCTAGCTAGGACCCTGGACCAGCCTCCCAGCCCTTCTGAGGGCTAAGGCTCGGCATACCCAGCGGTCAGGACCCACCGGGCCAGCGGTGGGTCAGATAGCCTCCCTTAGGTCCTAGCCGGAGGACTAGGATAGCGGTAGACGTGTGAGTCCCGCCAAGTCCGGAGGTTGTACCTCCTTAGGTATCAAGGAGGTTAGCGGTAGACGTGTGAGTCCCGCCAAGTCCGGAGGCTGTACCTCCCTAGGGTATCGGGTGAGGGGACCGAATATCCCTCTGTGTGTGTTAAGCGATGTATAAGGGAATAATACAATAAACAGAGTGTGCCTCCTAAAGAAGTCTGCTCGTCCTTACAACACTACAACTGGAGTCAGAAGTGGTTGGAAATGGAAACCAGAAGTTCAGCCCACGCGCGGAGCCAGAACGAAGATAACGCTGTCTCACCTGCAAGCACCACCAGCTCCGTTGAAAACGCTGCCGCGTTGACGGCCGCCCAGCCACCGGTTGAGCAGCCGGTTGCTCCCCCTGCCATGGGGTACGGACTCAGGGCAGCACACGGCCGTCTCGCTCAACTCCTACACGCCGCGGCCTCCATTCTCAAAGAGATCAACTTGGAGGTTGCGGGCAGGCCGAGTCAACCGCCGGCAGACGTTCCCGCCATCGGCCAGGGCAGACATTTTGATTTTCCCGCCGGGGAACCACGTGATTCCGCCGGAAGCGGAAGCCAGGGGCATTCTGGGAACGCGGGGGGCCCATCACAACCCGCAACGTCATCAGCACGCGACGCTGCGAATTCAAGTTTCTCAGCGGACGCCGCGTCATCACTGTACCGACACGGTACAGTAGACTATCGGCCGGGAAATCGCCGATCTCCGGCTCGAGACGGTACAAGCTGAGGGGGAGACGACGTCCGCCCTCCAACAACGCCTGCCCATCTTCCGAGAATTCACATCTGAAGGGGGCGACTGGGCGGCGTTCCAGCGTCGCTTCCTGAGCCACCAAGAGATGGTGGGCTGGTCGGACGCACAGGCGCTCCGAGCACTACCGGCCACTTTGGATGACGACGCTCTCGCCTCGCTCCTCACCATCCCCAGGCAACAAAGGGCGACTCTTCAATCGGCCCTTCGACGGATGTCCGACGTGTACGGGCCTCCATCTGACGTCCGCAGCCGATTTTACGACAGGCGACGCCGCCCTAAAGAGTCTCCGTTGGCATTCCGGACCGCTCTACTGGCGATGGCAAGAGCGGGTTACCCTCGCATGGACGATGAGGCCATCGATGCCATCGTTCTCCAGAAGATGCTGGAGCTGGCGCGCGAGCTGCGCATCGTCATCCAAGCGGTGGACGACGACAGTATGTGCTCGCTATGAGCCGCTCGGTGCATCCACGCACATCTGCTGCTCCACACGGAATCGACCATCGCCGCCTCGGCTTCGACGTCGGAGCCTGCCAGCAGGGATGCCGAGTTCTCCCCCGACCGGGCCTTCATGGCGACCAGGTCAACGGGCCGGCGATCGTCCGACCACGCTGCTCGCCGCAACGACCAGCAGCGGGGACGGCCTGCTCCACGCGGCGACTTGACGTGCTTCAACTGTGGCCGACGAGGCCACATCTCCTCTGACTGCCGTGCGCCTCGACGACGCCCCTCCGCATCCCGGGGCCAGGACTACAGGACGTCCACGGCATCGCGGCAAAACCAGGCAAGTCGCGACGCCTCTCACGCTCGGCCCTCATTCACACCATACACACTGCAACGCACCATAAGAAGGGCTCGCGATTCGGCGTGTGATGGGGGTGTTCTGGCGTTTGTTCGTGGCCACTCGGACCTGGGCAGTGGTCTGAGTTGGCCCATAGGGTAGTCGCGGCGACGGCAGGTTCGTCCGTGGTTGTCGGATCAATCGAGGGTGTGGAATTTCGCGTGTTGGTTGATACTGGTGCGTCGACTACGATCATTTCGGATCTGATTTACAATATACTGCCCGTATGATGCCGCCCCTTGGAACGGGTTTCTATCCCGTGTTTCGCCGCTAATGGCAGTTCACTTGGCATTATTGGGCAAATTCGGGCGCAAATTTCGATTGGAGACATTAAATTGGCAGGGCCTATTTTGGTCTCTTCTTCCCTCGCCGTGCCGTGTTTGTTAGGCACTGATTTTCTCGCGAAAAATGCCTATTAAGATCCTTGTAGATCAAGGCCGCATCGAACTCCCATCGGGTCGACGGATGGCGTTCTTGCCCACACCCTCACATCCGCGCATGGCTAGTGCCTCGGTGCAGGCGTTTGTTGCGAGCACAGTCCGCATTCCACCAGGGACACAAATGCTCGTGCCCTTGCAACTTAAAAAACCGCTAGCCCCGGAGGCCTCGGCACATGGCATTTTGCTGGGGCCTTCAAACGCAGCTGCTAAGGGGTTAGATTTGGTGGCTGCACACACCCTCGTAGCAGCCGACAGGGAGCCGTTCTTGCAGGTTTTGAATGTCGGATTGTCCACAACCGTCATTCCGCAAGGAACTGTGCTCGCTCACGCGACCCCGGTGCCGTTGGGGACCGGAGTCGCGGGACACGTGCGTGACACGCCGCAGGTCCCACCTCCTTCCGAATCGGATGAGAGATGGTTGGACGCGCTCTGCACAGACACGGGTGATCTGTCTCATTCGCAGCGAATTAAATTGCGCGCTCTTCTGCGAGAATTTTCCGATGTCTTTAGTAAATCTAAATTTGATATTGGCTGCACCAAGTTGCTGCGTCACCACATTGATACTGGTGACGCTGCCCCGATTCGACAAAACCCGTTTCGGCTTAGCCCGGCGGAGAAACAGCATGTTAAATCGGCTGTGGATGACATGCTGAAGGCCGATATAATTTCTCCCTCCACTAGTCCCTGGGGTGCTCCAATAGTGCTGGTCAAAAAGCACGATGGCAGTCTCCGTTTTTGCGTTGATTTTCGGCGCCTAAATAAAATCTCGGT